GCAATGATGCAAGCAGTTACAGTCCTTTTTACTTCCTTTGTCAGCAGTATAAAACATGTCCTGATCTAGAAAATATTCTCATAAATACTGTGAATTTTCTGCAGAGTTGCTGCTTCTTGCTCGTCTGCACTAATAATCCCAATGCAAAATTGAAAACGGCAAATTAACTTGTAGTTTAAGTCCCATTGAACCATGCCCAGAGGAGAAGCACCTTTTTCTTGTCTGGAGCTCTAATCTTACGGTGCAGGCAGTGGTCTGGGCCACAGCTGCACGGTGATGCTGCTTTCCCTGTATTGCGCCTAAATCCTTGCCCTGCGCTCTGGCGCTGGGAGGTGAGCAACAGTAAAATTCTGTTTCTCTCCCTGCATTCGATAAGACGCTCATGCTTTATGCTCTGCACAGCATAAGCTGGAGGGTGGGTGTGGAAAATTCCTGTACTTTGGGGTTTTTCTTCTTTCAGTTGAAATAATTTTATAATGGTGATGCCTTGTCAAATTGGCCAGCCTCGCTGGGAGGGCAGGCTGTGGAAAGAGGATTTAGTCCATAATAAGCAATTCTTCCTCTCTTCTTGCCTGAGGAGGGGAAAAAAAGCTAAAATTCTTTCCTTTTTGCTAGTGGCTCGAGGGGTTGGTTACAGCAGAAATAATGATTCGATTAGGAAACGTCCCCCCCTTTCCATCTGAAGGTGTGCGCTTCAGCTTTGTGTCTGTTATGCTGTAACAGGAATCTGTTGCGTCTGCAGTAAGTGGGAACTCCCAAAAAACCTCGATTTACTAAGGCCCCTGGGAGAAGAGCACGGCAGCTGTATCGATCACGGCCGAGGAGTTGGACGATGCTAACAAACTCCCCAAAGCCCCAGTCTGACGGGGCTCGCTGGTGAAACTGGGGGATGTATTCTGAGAAACGGCCTCCTCCTCCTTGCAACATTGCCCTCGCGAATTTGGGAGGGAGATGTCCCCGAGCGCTTGCAGATACTGTCACCTGGTCACCTCGCTCCCCTCCGCCTGCATCCCTTAACGCCGTTATCGAGGCAGCGGTGCGTTTTGGAGCCAGCCACGCGATACCGGAGGTGTCTGCGCGGGCTGTGATACCGTGGTGCCAGGCTGATGGCTGCTGTCCCTGCCGCCAACGCCCAGACAGCGAGCGCTGATAGCAGACACCGAGCTTCGGGTACCGATGTGCCTGGTGCCGGAGCAGCCACTGCAGATTTGCAGCCCAGCCCTTGAGGAGCGCACAAATTTCATGTCATTTCATTTGAGGTTAAATTTTTACAGTCCTTTGACTCTTTCTGTGAGATTTTTTCTTTTTTCCTTGGGTCATCTTGTTCTAATTATTTTCCAGGAAATGAGCGCCAATAAAAGAAAGCCGTTCTGCTATGAATACACGTGTATTTTAAAATGTAGATATTAAATATGTTCCCTAAGCAGAGATAAAAAACAGTCCGGCTTATGCAAGTTAATACCACAATCGGAGAAGCAGTTTGGGCCTTTAAATGTACTGCTGGTGTTTAAATAATACCACAAGTGTAGCTACACTGGAGTAAAAGGCAGCTAATAACCAGGGCAGGGAGAGGAGGAAACCCTACTAAGTTAAGCTCATAGATTCTGGTAACTACCCTCATCTGGGAAATTGAGTTAGCGTATCCTGTCAGTAAGGACTGCACTCTTGATGACAACAGTTCTCCGTGCAAAACCCATAGCGATGGCATTTCAATAGCGCTACCCTTCCCACTAACCTCACATGGGGGCAGCAAGGCATTGCTTTATCAGTGGGAAATACGGTTTTACCTGAGAAACGACTTTGCTGGGATAAACGTACATGATGCAAGGGATTTCTGACTCCAAGGCAATTTGCTTATAAGTTTAAAAAAACCCAAACAACAAAACAAATATTTTTTTTTTAAAATAACCAAGTCCCTACATACTCAGTGTTCAGATGGGGATTGATTCCATTACTTTATATTACCAGGAAGAGGAATCTCTACTGATGAAGTGTTAAGCTGCACTGTGCAAGTGCACAAACTGCAATAAATCCAGCTCTTGCACTAAGCGTGGCCTGGCTTTTTCACGCCAAGTGGCCTAACGATCGTGCCGCGATGGTGAATTCTAGCTTTTGTCTGGAAGAAGGGAGGGAGAAGACCTCACGTTACGAGTTTTAATTTACAGTCCTGATTTGCAACGTTGTGGACACAATTGCAGAGCCAAAGTAATTCCAAAATCCAGATTTTTAAGGTTTCAGATGAGGTTGCAAAATTGTTTGACAGTAATGATGTAACGGTAGATACACTTCCTAAATATAATGAGAAAGGTACATAAATGCCTATTTGGCATCCAGGGCTAGGCAATGAAAAGCAGGTAATCTCACTTGTACCCAGTGGCTAGGGTGCCAAGAATGAACCCGGATATCCCAAAGGGGAAGAGAAGAAAGTATCCATCCACCGTCTAAAGCTTATCTCCAAGGGTTTGGAAGGAAAGCGGGATAGGAGCTGCTGCCAGTCCCGCGTCTCTCTTACCAGCGAGGGAATGTGGCAAGTTGCAGAGCGCGGGCTGGAAATACGATAGGGAAAGCAAAACATCCCTAACAGCGAGAGCCACTTACACACCCGCAGAAGCTCGCGGCAGCTCAGAGGGTCCAACCAAAATAGATGGAGATGCAGAACAAGGTGACAGCTCTGTGTTCCTGTTTTGTCTTGGAGAATTTGTAGGATGGGCACCCAAGAGGGAGGGAGAGGGACTGTTGTTTCTTACTTCTTATTGTTACGGCTTCCTCGAATTTGTCCTTGCTCTTTCCTTCCCGTCCAATGCATGCTGGCGCAGCCGGTCCTGACAAATGTTTGCAGTACCTCCCTGTAACCCATTCCGCAGCTCAGATGCAAGGTGGGATGTCCTTGGTTTTTCCCCCTGTTGAACTGGGAGCTGCTAAGGACAAAAGACATGCTTTTGTGTTATCCCTCTTTCCGCACCTTTCCTATTTCTGATGTCTTTTTGTTGTTGTTCATTTAAGATGGAGGCAGTTGTATTTGCAGGCCTCATTTGCTACAGCTCCTTGCAAACCTAAGGAAAGCAAAGCACCGTGTTCTGAAGGCACATGGATGCTTCTTAAAAATTCCCACCTGTAGCGGGACTGTAGTAGTAAACCAGCTAAAATGCCTTTGTGATAGGAAGGACCCTATCTGTCAGCGCAGTCACTGAATGAATTTACAAGGCAAAAAAGATTGCGGTCTTACACGGTCACTGAAGCATTCAGTAGTGATTATCCAGCAGCAGCTTTGCCTGCGAGGATCGGCATCCTGGTCGGGCACGGAGCTGTGCGGGTCTCGCTCCCGCATGGCCAGCACGACGGCCGGACACTGGGGCCTGCCGGAGTTGCGACGTGCTGTAAATGCACTCACCCCCTGTGCTGCTGCACAGGCAGCTTAGAGTGTTAAGAATGATACAGAAAATGCACTTTATCTGTTTCAGGCAACTAACAAAAGTCATTTTAACAAATGCCTGGGGAAGTGGCCGAGTCCCCATCCCTGGAGATATTTAAAAGATGGGTAGACAAGGTGCTTAGGGACAGGGTTTAGTGGTGGGGCGGCAGTGCTAGGCTAATGGTTGGACTTGATGATCTTAAAGGTCTTTTCCAACCTAGACGATTCTATGATTCTAAATCTTATTTTCCCTGCTCTAAGTGAGAAGATTCCACGGGAGACACAGAACGGCATGCGAGTTCTTCAGCCGACTCTGAAACAAAACGTGCTATTTGCTTTCCTGAAATCATGCTTTCGGCTTGAGAAGGGCCAAGAGCATTCCTACTGAGCCAGAGGCCTCAGAAAGCTACAACTGGTAGTGGTAGAAGCTTGGATACTTTTAGGAAAAAAAAAAGTTGAGGCAGATAATAGACATTCATAGACTACGTGACCATTATTGGGGATCTCTAGGCTTTAAAAATCTTTGCCCGCTCTAACATAGCTGCGAGATGCTCAGTTTGATGGGGAATGGAATGGGGCTGCCTTAGTGATGGGTTTAGTTTATATTGAAAAGGATCGAGTTAATGTTATGAAACTGCTAGACATGGGAAAGCAAGTGAAAAAGTTGCAGAGCAGCTACTTCTGGTTTTGTCGGGGGGTGTTTGTGCTTAGAATTTTAAATAATATGAATATTACCTGATCAGCTTGTAAAGACAGCTAGGAAAAAAAAAAAAAACCCAAACCCTTTGCTAATTAGTCTATTGCTAACTCCATTCTAAAGCACTTTGCAAAGTGCCGCATGTCTGAGGTTTCACAGAAGCATAGCGAGGTGTGCTGTTAACTCTGGCTTGGCCCAGACAAGTGGAGACAAACTGTGAGCTTGAATATATCAAGTACCTGTTACAGATCATCCCTGCGAGGGAGCTGGTGCTGACATTTTGTGGTGATCAAGGCTGCTAACTGGGGCTACGTATGTGCTAGGTAAATAAAAAGTAGGCTGTCTTCTAGGAGGCTGTTATCACTGTTGAGAGAGAGCCACCGTACTGGAATGTCAGTGGAACCACCGACTTGGAGGATGGGGCTGGGAAAGTATGCGGCTTGCCACCTGCAAAAGAATCGAGCAGCTGCTTTTCTTACTACGCAAATGTAAAAGTTTAATCAGAATGATTTTGTAGGGAGACCTCTGTGTGTGAAGGCACTCGAGAGCTGCCGTGCTGCCGCTGGGGGCTGCCAGGCACCCCGACAGGTCACGGGCGGGAGCTCGTGGGTTTTAGCTCCTTCCCCAGGTGCTCCCCTTCCCTCACCCTGCCTCGACGCTGGCCCCGAGCACGGGGCTCTCTCGGGCAATGGGTGCTCTGGGCAAGGCGGGACGATTGTATTAAATCTGTCCTTAGTCACGACTGCCTGTGGGGTGTGCCTCACCCCAAACGTGCTGGAGCTGATAGCTCTGGGTAACTGCTGATCAGGTTTTGAGACGGAGCATCTCAAACCCTGTCATTCAGATCCCTGCAAGTTTCTTCTTGTTTGTCCTGCTGGGTTGATAGGGGCGATGCGGCCCCTGTCCCACTGCCATCCCGCTTTCCGTCTTGGTAAGGACAAGCTTTCCCAAAACTGCTCGGGGTTACCCATCCTCGCTGGGGCAAGGCACCAGGCGGGTTGGGAACCACCTCTGCACTCACATCCCTGAGCTGGGAAAGGGACCCGGCTGGGAAATAACTGGCTGGGAGTGGCAGCAAAGCCGAGGGGGCAAAACGCAATTACCTGGGCTGTAATTTGACCAGAATCTGCTGGGCCAGACTAATACCCCTGTGAAAGCCTGCAGCTGTCCGGGAGCGGCTGAAAGGAGTGAGAACAAAAGAGAGAGACGAAATCGGAGGGGGAAGGACTGGTAGGTTATTAGTAAAGACAATAATTTAATTGAAGAAGAAAAGCTTGAAAGAATGAGACCAATAAACCAAATTTTGCGGTCACTTTCCTTGCAGCGAAGGGACTTGGCGGCAGGACTCAAAGCCGGCGGCAGTTACCGGAGCCCGTCCCGTTTTCCGCCTTTTTATTGCAAGAGGCGCTTTCTCGCTCTTGCGAGACGCCTCGTGAGCGGGAGCCCTGCGTGCCGACACGCGAGCCCTTTCCACTCCCGCCGTGCGGGCCGAACTCCACGGGCGCTTCGGCAGCTCGGCCGTGTTTGAGGGAGCGAAGAAATTTACACTGCAGGTTGCCTGCTACTCAGTTACATTCCTTCCAATATTCCTTTAGCAACTTCCAGAAGTTACCTAAGAAGATGCCTGCAGCAGTTTATGAACAGTCACAGAAGACAACACAAACTTTTCTGTTCTAATAAAAGTGACACTTAAAATATGAATGGTGAACAAAAAGACCATGAAAACTGCTATGTGAAAGAGCCACATGTCTGGAGTTACAGTTTATTTGCAGGGTCTCCCTGTGACCAGTTTCCCAAATGAAGTTTTACACTATATAGTCGCAATTTCACAACATGTTTGAAAGTCACCATAGTCCACCGAGAAGGAAATCAAACATTCCTAAATCCTACCATATGTTACAAAAAAAAAATCAAAACCAAAAAAACCCAAACAAACAAACAAAAAAAAAACCCCAAACAAAAAAGCCATAAACCACAACCCAACTTTAAAAACAACAACAACAACAACAACAACAAAAACCACACACTTAGATTTGCAGTGTATCTCTCACTTCCTTACAGGGGCTCTACCAAGAAATCCCATTGTGGGATGGGAGAATGAAGTTGTGATACAGTAAAATCACTGTAGGAAGAGCAAGGACATTCTCACCATCAATGCCTATCAGCCAGGCAGGGCATTCACAGTTGTCTGGCATCCGCTTCTTCTCAATACAATCCCTTGAAGAGCCTCTGCTGTCCAGAATTCCTCCTTCTTGGACCTCAGCCCCTGAACTAGAGGGGCAGAAAGCTGCTTGCTGTGGCATAGAAACATTAAGTAAGACTGTGAGGAAGTATGGGAAGCAAGCAAGAGGTGAGTTATTGAAGTGTTGTGACAATTACTCTACAAACCTAATGACACAGGTTTTGAGGGCTGTCTTTGCAAAGGGAAACACTTAGTTGTTAATCTGGCTTGCTTTTTTAGGTAAAAGCTTTTATTTTAAAACAAGTAGCAAAGCCAAAGGAAGCATTTGCTAGGCCTCTGGTGTAAGTTGAAAGTTCTCAGCTTGTAATAAACCTAGGGTGATGGCAAAGAATATATCCTTGTGCTTCTTAGCAGTTGGCTTAAAGGACTCAACCAAGAAGACCAAGTGACCTGGGGGACCCAGCTGAACGATTGCTCATGTTTAGCACCTTCAGTTCCAAATATCCAGCATGGCATGAGTCTCTTACTCCAAAACCGCAGCTTTCCACAATTTAAAAAAAAAAAAAAAAAAGAAAAGACCCAAAGGAGCGAGGGGGAAAAAAAAAAAAAAAAGTGACGTGAGATTTCAGAGCTACTTCTGGCCGGTCCCCGCTTTAATCGTATGCATCCTTCCAGCTCAGATACTCCGCTTAGGACCGGTTTCTACGGGATTTGAATTTCAAGGATTAAACTCAAGTCTTTCTACTGCTGTTTAAAAAAAAAAAAGCCCCAGTGCCTTCCAGCACCCTTGCTGCCATCCCCGCGTGCTGCACACGCTAGAAGTAGCCTGGAGTGATGTTATAATTAGGACAGATTTATTCTCGGCAAACTTGTGCGTTACAGTCTGTAGCAAGTGCGTGCACCTGCTCGAGAGCTGCCGTATCACCGAGCGCGGAAGTATTGACAATTTTTTGCAAGCCTTTTGTTTAAAGAGTGCTAAAATGCTGGGAGAAATGTGGCCTTTTGGTTAATAACTGGCTCTGCATAATCAGCTGTGCAAGGAGCTGTTCTGACTTGAGCGGACAGATGACTCCCTCGGCACTTTGGAGAACAAGGTGTTTTCTTGGCAATTACTTTTCTTAACAATTAATATTTACTGCTCAGCAAGTTTGGGAGCCGTTGCCCCGTGCTGGTGCTGGTTAAGTAGCAGCAGGGCCAGCCATGTCCCCTGCCATGTTCCCTCAAGGTGTGCCCAGGGCGCATCAGGGCAGGCCAGGTGGGGGTCCCCAGCCCTGCTTGCCTCTCAGGGCTGCCGGGTTTTGGTGGAAATGATGAAGCCCAGGCATGTTGTTGGGAGCATTTGCAAGCACTGAAGGGAGGCACCTTCCCCTCTTTATTCCTGGATATATCTCTGCAGATTTCTTACTGAGGCGGAGAAAACAGCTTTTTTTTTTTCCTGGGGAGTGAAGAGCAACCAGAGCCCAGGCCCTTCCAAGGATGGCATTTGCCATCAGCCTTGTTGGGACCCCAACCCCACTGCTGAAGCAGCGCCTGTACTTTCTGCTCCCACCCCTCACCCTCCCTCACTCCTCCTGTCCTTAAGTCCCTTCTTTAAGCCTTGCGAGGAGGGATGCCTGTAGCGAAGCTTTGGAGTGTGGTGCTGTCGCCCCACCACCCACCCCGTGGTTTCTCCCCAAGTGGCTGAAGTGCGGAGCAGCTGGATGCCCAGCCCCAGGGCCGCAGGCTGGCTGTCCCCCTGGCTGTCCCCCTGGCTGTCCCCCTGCCTCAAGGGGGACGGTGGCTGGGGAGGGCTGGTGATGGGGAGGGATGCCATGCGGCACTGGGTTTGGCCACCCTGTGCTCCCAAGCCCTGAGCAGGGATCCTGCCCCCAAAGTGTCTCCCTACAAACCCAGCATTCTCTTGCCTGATTTTTCTAGTGGGACATATTGGAGAGGAGATCTGGTGAGATGTGGAGCAGTGGTAGATGTGGGCTAGACCACCATCAACGGGAGCGAGCCATCTTCCCTCAAGGCGAGAACTGTGGAGTTTTCCTCCCTGCTAATAACTTTAAAGATGCTTTTGGAAACTCCAGCCATTGGCGTTAGCAGCCCTTTTCATCCTCCCTGTACAAAACGCTTGGCTGCACACACAGCTTTTAGTGCTTACCCTGCATTGACCTGTGCTGGGGAGAGGTGGGCTCAGCCGCCGGGGGACGGGGCCTTCTGCCGGAGCTGCTTGTCCCTGTCCCCCAGTGACGATGTTTTTCTTGCTGTTGCAGTGCCCATCTATGTGCCGTTCCTTATCGTTGGATCCGTATTTGTCGCCTTCATCATCCTGGGGTCGCTGGTGGCAGCTTGCTGCTGTAGATGCCTGCGGCCCAAGCAGGAGCCCCAGCAGAGCCGAGCCCCCGGGGGCACCCGCCTGATGGAGACCATCCCCATGATCCCGAGTGCCAGCACCTCCCGGGGCTCCTCCTCCCGCCAGTCAAGCACCGCTGCCAGCTCCAGCTCCAGCGCCAACTCGGGGGCCAGAGCCCCCCCGACCAGGTCCCAGACCAACTGCTGTTTGCCAGAAGGGACCATGAATAATGTCTACGTCAACATGCCGACAAACTTCTCGGTGCTGAACTGCCAGCAGGCTACCCAGATCGTGCCGCACCAGGGGCAGTACCTGCACCCCCAGTACGTGGGCTACGCCGTGCAGCACGACTCAATGCCGCTGACCCCGGTGCCCCCCTTCCTCGACGGTTTGCAGAGCGGCTACAGGCAGATCCAGACTCCCTACCCGCACGCCAACAGCGAACAGAAGATGTACCCAGCTGTGACTGTGTAGCGCTGACGCCTTCCTCCCCCTCCCCACCCGGCAGATTTTAATATCTAAACTGAATGGAGGAGAAATACTTTCTCGTAACGAAGCTCCCAGAACATCACTTGTAAATAATTTTGAAAGGCTCATGCATGTCAGACAGTGTTTATAAACCATTTATTTTCATCGGGGTCCGTTGCCAGAAACTGTAGGATGATATCTCTGAATTAACGTTGCCAGATACGCTCATTCCAGTGCATGATTTACAGCGGTGAAGGATTACGCTGAAAATGCATATGTATTTCAGATCACTGTACTTGCGAGATAAATGCCGGAGCCATTAAGTGCCCTTCAGGTATGACATGGTCAGAAGTATTTGCCTAATTAATTCGTAGAAAGAGTTTTGTTACCCTGTACGAGACCGCAGTACTTAAGAAACCTCTTTTCTCCTCTCCCAGCCCCTTAACGACGTTTCCCGTTGCTTTACAGACAATCACAACCGAGAGCCGAACAGTGCAATCCCTGCGTGCTGGGTGCTGGTACCAGCCCCCGTGGCATCTTGCCCACCCCCAGCTTGGGGTGAAATGCCACGAAAGGCTTAGTCTCGCAAAGACCAATTTTCCTTGTCCCTGATATTTATGTAGGAATTAGAAGAGCGTGAATTATTTAGCTCTTCTTTCCAGTGCACTTGAACTTGATTTGGTTTTGCCTCAAGATCAGGAGCCAGTAGTGGTTTGCACAGACTTTATCTTTGTGAACTTTTTACTAAAAACAGGGTATGAGGTGCTTGCTCTTCCTGGTGCTCAGCAAAGCTTTTGGTACAGCTAGCAGCACCCGAGCTGGAACTGCCTTTGCAGAGAGGTCGTACTGTGACGCCGAACACGCCTGATTTAACCTCACTTCCCATGAAACAGTAAACCCGTGCGAACGCGCTCAAAGGTGTCAGCCCCAAACCCTGCTTGCAGTTGAGTCTGGTGGTAGGAACAGGGGCTTTGGCCCCCCCCAGCCTGCTCTGAGCCCCCAGCCCTGCTCTGTGGGGTGGGTGTGGGTCACACAAAGCCCCTCCCCCCAACCTGGATGCGGAGGGGGTGGCAGAGGTTTGAAACCCATCCCCTTTTCTTCTTTACCTGTGGGGCAGGGGAGTAGGAAGGCACAGCTCTAATTAAAAATGAGGCAAAAAGCCCAACCAAAGGATGAAGGTGCTCACAGCTCCCCCTGCTGCCACGGGGGTTGGGGAGGAGGTGTGATGCTGGGGTGGGGGGGACGGGATGGAACACGCTTTGCACCGGAGCTGCTGGCTCCATCTTGCTTTGCTTTGGCTGGGGGGAGGGGGCAGGGGGGATACTTCTCCAGGTTGAAGAGGCAACAGCGTGCTGGGAGTAATCAGCATGTGCTATTTGTCATATCATCCCGGATGCAACAAACTATCTAAGGCTGGGTTTGTCTCTTAAAAAAACCCATGGTCTCTGCATTTCCATCCACTTGTTCTTCAGCCAAAACACCGTGCCAGAGGACTCGAGGGCATACACCCAAACCGGCGGTTTGTGTTAGCCAGACCAGAGCTGATAAAAGGTTTCTTATTGTCTGATACTGTATCAGTATGTAGCAATAACTGTGATACTACTATTTTTTGTATGTCTGTTTTTACATTACGCATACGTGCGGAAGCATTGCCAAATCCAACGGTTTACTTGTAAACATGCCACACAGGCAGCCCGCAGCGGGCAGCAATGGCTTCACCACCGACATAGCAAAATGAATAAGTGATTTATCCCAGGTCTGCTGTTCCTGGCTGCGATCGCCCGTTCAGCGCCTAGGACCTGGACAGAAAGATTGGCTTACGAGACCCGGCTTCCCCTCCAGCCAGGCTGGGCGGCTTCAGTGCGGCGGTGGCCTTGGGTGGCTGCTCTGCACAGCTCGGGGGAGCTCTAAAGGCAGTAGGTGCACCAGGGCTGGCGGCTGCCAGGCTTTCCAAGGACCCAACGCACACATGAGGATTTAGGTTTCTACCTGCCTGCATTGCAGCTGGGTCACGCCGCCCTTGCAAAGCTGCGTTTGCGTCAGGCGCAGGGGCTCGGATGCCTTCAGCTGCCGGTGGCTTGGGCAGGAGCTGGAGGTGCTCGGCCCCAGGTGAGACCCGGCCAGTTATCGCGTGGCAGGGAAGCGGCCAGTTCCTGCGCCCGTCATCTTTCCCAACCGTGAACCAAGCCAGCTCTCACCCCCCGGTGCGGGCTGCCTGCCTTGCCCGTGCCCTGGCAAGGACACCTCCTCTGACCTATGAAATTCAGGTGAATCTCTTTGTATATTGTTTACTTGTTTAAAAAAAAAAAAAAAAAGAATAAGTTAAATTTAAGTGTAGAAATTAATTTACAACTGAAGGCAGAGAAACCTGAGTTGTAATAAAAGGATGTTTGTGAGATGTGGTTGGTTTTTTTTTTAATGTCATGTACAATAATGCAAAACCAATGTTACCATTTGATACAGCTTTTCAATCTCTGAAAGGGCACTTGCTTTAAAGTGTTTCTTACAAATGAAGAAAAAAGCCCCCTTTGTTTCTTAATAAATACTTCATGGTGTGACTTTGGTTTTGTTTGCTTTGTTATAGGTTGGTTTTTTGTTTTTTTTCCTTCAGTTAATGCTTTGCTTTCCTCTGTCCTCAAGAGCACATCTGACTAGCCCAGTTCTCGAGGCCCTGGCAAACAGCGAAGTTCGGATTTTTGGCTGTGTTTTTTTAAAGAATAACAGTAAAAACAGCAACTCACATGGCCAAATGCTTGGTCAGGCTGTATGCGGCGTGTCCTGAAATGCCACGGCTTCCTGGCGACCAGGGAGGCGAAGGAGCAGGGCTGGAAGCCGAAAGCTGGCAGGGGAGGAGGGGTCAGCCACGGCGTCGAGCAGATGTGCTGAAGTGATGAGCACTTCGCAGCAGGAGAGGCCAATAGTTTGTGTCAAAGCTTTTTCTTGTATTCTTTAGGGTTGGGTTTTTGTGTTTGTTTTTTTTTTTCCCGGCAATTTTCTTTTTCCTTGGTCGAGAGGCGTAAGGTTTTTTTTTTTTTTTCTGCTGACTGTGGATGGCGTGGGGAAAGAGAGTATGGAAACTGTTGCTGATAAACTCTGAGCAAGCACAAGCAGTGGCTAGGAAAGATGTATTTATTTAGCTTTTATAGGCTACAGTCCTAGTTGAGACCCTGGGTCTACGTGGTTGCACCTCAGAAGGAATAGTCCCAGGTGTGGTACAGTAACTGGGAGACCCCGGCGCAGTGCAGCCGCGTCGCACCGAGCCATGGCAGCCCGGGGGGTGGGCTCGGCCCGGGGGCCAGGAGGGGCACAGCAGCTCTCGGGTCCTACCGCTGAATGTGCATCTGTTCCGCAGGAAAGCCCAGCTTCCCCTTTTCTTTATCATGCAAAAGCCTAAAATCTTCTAAACCTGCTGCATGGCCTGTAAATACATTTTTTTATCCTTATCTATAAGAAGCGGTGGAAACACTCCGAGCACTCCCTGCGGGGCACGCCATCGAGGGCCGTGCAGCTCGGTGCGGGGTGACGCACGGCTGGGAAAGCCGCCCTGCGAGGCCGTACGCCTTTTTGCCTGCTCAGTTTCATCCCACTGCTCAGTCCCATCTTCCCAGCCTGCCCCTAAACAACTTTTTTTTTTTTTTTTTCTTTTTTCCCCCTGCTATTTACATCCCTTACATTTATGTTCTCGCTCACTTGTCATTTGTAGCATATGGTGCACTTTTTCCAGTGCCTGTTGCTGGACACACTGCTACCTATTTAAGGTGCTGCTGCCTTCGGGACTGTGCAATGCCCGCACTGGTACGCACAGTAAGCAGGCATGATCATGGGGAGAAGCCAGCAAAATGCATCCCAGCTCTCATTGGTTTGCCCACAGCATGCCCCAATGTGCTGCTGGTATCCTCACAAGGGGGAGGCAGGGGACACAGTGGCCCCGGCCACTTTTGGCAACCCACCTGGCTCTGGCGACCCGACGCCATGCCTGCGCCTGCTGGTGCTGGCTGGGAGCAAGGCGGTGGCCAGGCTGCCCCACGGTGCCCAAACCGCTGAGCCACACAGGGGAACAGCACGAAACCATCACCAGTGACGTGACCGCCCCTCCCAACAGGCACGTGGAGAACCACTTAGAAGTGTCTTCCCTCTTAGCCAGGCGCGATCAGCAGACGAGTCCTGTTCCTCCCTGATGGCAGGAGGTTTGCGTGCCCCTGTGCAGCTCGTACCAGCCGTCGCCACGTTTATTAGGGGAAAGTGGGGCTTGGTGCAATTAAAGGCTGTCGCTTATACATGGCCATAATGCCTGGGGCTTGGGTCCCAGCTCAGCACGTTAACCTCAGCACCTCCCTTTCAAAAATACCCAATTTGTTCACTTTCAGTCTTGCTGGAGCTCTTCTTTGCCCTCCAGTTTTCTGCTTTCCCATTCTTTTCCTCCCACTGAAGTTGTTACTAAATATAATTCCCCACATGTATTCCCTTGTATTTTTCCAAGCTGAATCTCTTTTTATTGTTTCCTGCTCATATGTCTTGCCTCTCTGTAGATCCCTTTGTTTATTGCTCTGTCCTCAGTGGGGTTTGCAACATTTTCCTGTCCAGGATCACTTGCAAACAAGTCACTTAAGCCTGTGCCACCCTTCCTCCTCTTCCCCATCCGCACTGAATGGGGCCAGTGCAGGGGGATCCAGCCCTCCCTGGGGGCTCACAGTGTCCCCTGTCCTGCAGCGGAGCACTTAATCCCCATGACAGCGTTTCTGTGCAACGTGAATATCCGGGTACCCCCAGTTGCTGCTGCTGTAACAGCCTCCCATGCCTCAGCAGCGGGGATGTGTCCACCACGCTGGCCTGCGTGGCACAGAATATCAGTGTGGGCTTCACCCACGGAAAGCCCTCACATGAACCAACACCGTGGCGTGGCTGCTTTGCACCAGCTGAACGCCATGGTGAGCCCCAGAGGAATGTGTGTCTCCCTGCTACCCACATACCCCTTTCCATCCCAACACGTACCGGTCTTGCAGAAATGGTCCTATTTGCTTGGCTCCATTTGTTCTTTGTATCCAGAGAACATCAGCACACTGACCCCGGGCTTTTTTTACCTGGCTCCTGACCCCACACCTCTCACATTCTCCAGCTCCTCCACGCTGGCTTGTTCCCGATGTTTTCTCTGGTCCTCCGTCTTCTCCACCTCTTGCTTGCCCCCCCGGCAGCCCGGCAGGGAGCTGGGCATCGCAGGGCAGCTGCGCTGGATGGGGGCACCTGGGGCAGCTGGTTCACGAGTGGAGGCACAGCTTCATTAGGAGACCATGTGCCCATTTAGCAAAGGTGAGGACTTCCTGGTTTTCCAAATACTGAGCACAAGGCAGCAAAGGTTTCACAAGGTACGGCCGAAAAGTTGCTGGGGTGTCGGAGGCTTACTCCCTCATGTTCTTTAGAAGAGGGGAGAGAAACCTCTCCGGAGTGTAACGTGAATCACAGCTCCCAGGTTGCACTCAGACTCAAGGTGCCTCCAGCACTGTACTGGCCACTGGCTTTGGCAAAAGAAGGTTAATTTATGTTTTCTTAATATTTATTGATTTTTGTGGTTATTTCTGATGAGGTGAAACCACACAGGTAACAACTCAGCCACCTTCCGCACTGGATGAAGCCCGGTGGGTATGGGCGGCTCGCTGAGGAGAGACATCGCTTCCTTCTCTCGTTTGTGGTGCCGACAGTACGTCAGGAAATATGAAAGAAAATTCACCTTGAACTTTGGAAACAGAATCTTGTCTGCCATCACAGGCCCTTTTTACCTGCTTTGTGGACTTGTAATAGCAAAAGTATAATTCAAATATTCAAGAAAGAGTAGAAATAACATAATTTCTCCCAAACACGATAATCCTTCACTTTCAGCTGAGCAATCCCCTATTTGCTCTGTCAGTCCTTCCACAAACCTCCAGCAAAATCAAGGCAAATGATAAATCAAAGCTGAAAAGTGTTGTTCAATTCAAAAGGTGAGTTGCCTTCCATCAAGCCTCCCTTGTGTTTCGGGGCAGCTCAGGGCACAGCCCAATCTGGTTTGTCTTTATAGGCTCACTTGAAAACAAAAAAGTAGAAAGGCACCACTTTGGATCCTATCGATCCTATTAAGCCAGGGCAAGTGAACACCAAGTCAGAGCGCAGCACTAACACAACAATAAAACAAAATTAC